TTTCCCTTATGATTATGGATGTACTTGGAACTTTTAAGAGGAAGAGACTAGAGAATCTGGCTTCAGTCAAGTACAGGCAAGATAAACATTTCATGATTCTCCTTTAATTTAAATCCTAATGCTTATAAATCTTCTATTATACTCAAGAAAGCCCTGCCAGACATTTCCAAAAGCTCCATTTCTAAACAATGACTCAGCCTCAGTCATTCTAAGACTTGCCTATAATGGCAGTTAAGTCCAGGCTTGATAATGTGCTCAAGCTCACACCTGTCTGGAATTCCTACTTCAAACTCTCAAGCTTGCACCCTGGCAGCACTTCCAGCTGCACTGGAAGCCCTTCTGAAGCTCTGAGACTCAGCATGCCCATCCTGTCTGCTTGTTTCTAACCCCCAAGTCCCCCTCCCTGCAGTGTAGTTCCAGTAAGCATGCCCTGCAGGACAATTCTTCAGTATACCCTCCAGTTCCTAATGCATAATTCTCTCTCTGGCCTTTCTATAACTCCCCTTTTCTTGACTGCTCAGCCAGAGCCTGGACTGCCTCACACCCTGCTGCCATAAAGGGATGAGAAAACCTATACACCAGCTAAGTACACAGAAGCATGCTGCATAGCACATGCAGTATTACCAATTCACTGTACAAATGTTGTGGACAGAAGGGATGAATTCAAACAAAAACCTAAAATGTTGGGGGCAGCCATACCCTTAGATGCTTAACTCAGCATCTGACCTCAGGGGAGGAGGAGGAGGAAGGGGGTGGAAATCAGGCCCTCTTAAGGCATCTTTAGTTGGGCAACCAAAAAGAGGTACTGGTCTCTTAAAATTAAGGCCAGGGGTTGTCAACCAGGGGTACACGTACCCCCAGGGGTACTTAGAAAGGTGCTAGGGGGTACGCACAGGCAGTAAGGGATGGAGCACTGCCACCCACCACCCCGTGCTTCCACCTCCCAGGAGCAGAGCGCAGGGGAGGCAGTGGCTCCCCTCTGTGGGCTGCACAGGCGCCACCCAGATGCTGGGGGAGGGTGAGGGGAGCTCGCTCACACAGCAACAGCCGCCATCCACCCACACAAGCCCCCCCCACGTCCAGCAAATGCCACCAAAAGGGGTACACTCTTTAAAAAAGGTTGAAAACCTCTGATTTAGGTCATGGGTATGTGATAATCATGGCTATGTTCTGGTCCTGTGAGATGAACCATTGTCCACAATAGTTAAGAATAAAATCAAATATAGCCGAAAAAAAGATCTAACATGACATTAACTTAGATCTTCAGAGATTACAGACCAGATTGAGCACCATCTAAACTGCCCAATATGAGATGTTCTAGTTCTAAAGAGAAAAGTTAGCTCAGGATACAAAAAGTATCAGTTGTTATAACTTACACACTCTGTCTCGCTAACCAGAAACTGATGAAATTTTTCTAGTTCTGGTGACTTCCGCAATATTTTTCTGCTCAAGTTTGTGTGCCATGCTAGCTCTTCTGGATACCTGAAGAAACAGAAGAATGTCATTTTGTGCATCTCTTATTTTAGAGTAATCCAGTGTGAAAAACATTAATAATTAAAAACATTCAATCACGTTAAAACAACTAAAAAACTGTTTAAATAATTTAGTACCGATCCAATTAATAACCTGTTGAAAAAAACCCGTAAAGAAGGCAGAAGACATGGACAAAATAACACTCCTTATTTAACCATCTTTGCATTTCAAGCTTCCAAACAATTCTTTTTCAAAAAAGAAATTGGAGTTGTAACAGTAGAGTTGAATCCATACCTATGGCCTATGTCAAGAACCAACTCAGTCCCAAGTAAGAAAATCTGCAATCCTAACAGAAAAGATCATCATCGGTTTACTTTGGCACCAGCAGAGACACCACAGTAACAATAGATTTTGATGCAATTAATCTTCATACTTGCATCACTGAGAATAGCACAAAACTCTGCTGTGCACCTCAGACAGTCAGAACGATAACTCAGCTCATAAAAAGTTCCACTGGGCAATTCTTTGCTTGTGTTGTGTGAAATGGTCAAACTCATCACCAAATACACAGGAAAAAAAATGTACATCCAGCAAAATGAAAAATGCTGACCACAGATACTTAAGATAATCCTAGACTGGAATGCTTCCACTTCCAGTGGAGACTCGTGAGCTGCACGTGGCAGCAGGGAGTGGAGCCAGGCTAGTCCACCGCTATCACGTGGGACTCACATGCAGCTCCAGGAACTCGCGTGTCACTGGGGGGAAGCCCCGCACAATGAAGCCAGTAGCCTGGCTCCACTCCCTGATGCCACGTGCAGTTCACAAGACTCTGCTGGAGGTGGTGCTGCTTCCCGACGGAGTCCTGTGAGCCGCACGTGGTGGCATGGAATAGGAAAGGCAGCTAGCTCCATTGCATAGCACTTCCCCCCTGGGGATGTGCAAGTTCCTGGAGGTGCACATGAGCCCCGTGTGGCAGGCCAGCCTGGCTCCACTCCTTGCTGCCACATGCAACTGCCAGAACTGGTTGGAGCCATGCACCGCCTGGCAGCTGTGACTGCACAGACCATGAGCACCCCAATGGCCTGAGGCCTGGTGCTGCTGCCACTGGCAGTGGCTGTGCGCCCCGGGGGGCATGTGTGGGGGCCTGTAAACCCCCTCCCCCCACATCATTCCCCACACCCTGCCCACCTGAGCTCCGCACTCCTGCCAGGCACAGGCCCTAGGCTGTGCACTAGCACCAGCCCCACACTCCACATTCCTGCCCACCTGCAGCTTCCCTACTTGGTGCCTAGGGTGAGTGCTGCAGCATGGACACAGGAGGTGTCAAGGCCAGGGAAGCCAAGTAGGTCACCTGGCAGCTGCAGCAGTGGCCCCACCTGGAAGCTGCATGTGCTGGCTAGGGCCAGGGTCCTCCCAAGCAGAAGGGTGGGAATGAAGCATACAGGCTGGGTACAATTACTTGGCGAGTGCCTGCAGGCTGGATGATGCCACCTGGCAGGATAGATCCAGCCTGCAGGCCGTACTTGACCTGCCCCTGCTTTATTGGGACTGGCATCAATGTAAAGATACAACCACACCACAACCTGGGACTGCTGCACTGTAAAAATAAAATGTCCGAGTGACAAATTTAGGTGAGCTGCCTGAAGAGGTGGTAAGGCTTTTGGGCTAAGTAGACAGTCAAATAGCCTGAGGCTGAATCAATGACCCCAGACTGTGGGGTCTGCTCCCTTTTGGGGTCTCTGGCGCGCCAGCTGGAGGAGCTCCAGGCCACAGTCCAGAGACTGCGTGCCATCAGGGACTGCGAGCAGGAGATAGACTCCTACTGCCAGGCCCTTCTCCCCCGGGAGGCAGAGGGTAGACCACAGTCCCCCTCCACGCCAAAGGAGGACTTTGGGACCTCCTGCTGTGTCCAGCCAGG